AAAAAACACTTAAACTGGCCTAAAATTGATTATCTGCTAAATGCTCCGTTAAGCTGACAAGACAGATTTCCTTTAGCTCGATTAAATTTCATTCTTCCGAAGTCAGTGCCGTGGCTAATAAGCATTCAAGCGGTCTTAATTAAGCCGCAGAAGGAAGGGAGCTATCGATTTTCAGTATCTTTAATAAAGGTAAATTCTCCACAAAATGGTCAGAATTCCAAAAGAAGCCTCACTAACGCAGTGTCTTTGTCTGCGCACCTTCAATTAATAAAGGGCAGCATTGGGATCTCTTAGAACCCACCCATATAACTCTACAGCATCGATTTATATTTCATTTGCTTTTAAACCAACTTCGCAAAATATGGCTCATATCATGCAAACATTTCTACGTTCGTTATGCCATTTTCAAGAGCTGACGGTTTCTCTGGCTGCGCTTAAATTCAATTCACTCGGATAGTTGAAGTGGTATATTTATTTAGAAATATGTAGTTGCAGGTAGGTAGAGATACAGTGATTCGCTATATTTCATTAGAACGCGCACTCGCTATTGACTTTCCAGGCTTCGATAAGAACTTATAGTGCTTTAGAAAAATAAGTTTTCTTGAACCAATTTGTAATTCACCTTTTTCCGATTCATTTCCCCTTTCAAACTTGAAACTTGCCAGACTGTAATCTGCTTCGATTCGTTTTTTTTACTTCTATTGTTTGAATTTAGATACAAAACAACTAATAGATGTTTTAATATTATATTATAGTTCATCAAGACTCGCCATAGATAAATCACCAGTAGAAATAAAGATATCGTAAAGGAAAAGTGATAATTTTGTACAAAGGTATCTATTACGTAATTATTTTATATAATTTCTAGATCTCATAGGATTTTTTCGTAAGAATAAAATTCATATAAAATATAAAAATCAGATCTTGTTGAGAAAAAGCACGTCCCTACACGCTGACGCCGCACACGTCCACTAGCAAATGGCGCGAAAAATTGTACACTTTGATTCACTTTGGGGATATTTCTTTTGCCTTTGACTGGGAGAACGTTTAGATCCTTAGAAGAAAATTCTTATTCCTTCCATTTTACTTACTTTGTCTACTTCACTTTACGTTGCATTTTATTTTCGATTAGTTTTCTGAGTAAACACGAGGTATTTTAATTACAAAATAGCTTTTAAGTTTTGTGATGTAAAAATAATTAATATAGAAATATGTATAGAAATACGTATCTTTACTTAATATTATAAAGAAACAGAGTTTGTTTGTTTGTTGCACTAATCTCAGTAACTATTAATCCGATTAAAAAAAAATTGTTTTCATTACATAGCCTGTTTATTGAGGAATGCTATAAGCTGTATATCATATAATATATTCCATACTAATCGTTAACACCCACCTAGGGACAAACCCGAACGAAGCCAGGGTGAATCGCTAGTCTAATATATAAAATTCTCGTGTCACAGTGTTTGTAACAAAACTCCTCCTAGTATGAGTCGCTAGTATATGTATGTATATAAAAATAGGTGTGTATAGTCTTATTGCTTAAAGTTTTCATCTATATCACCCGCATCAGAATTTACGGAATCATTATTTAACAGTCGTTCACAGTCGTCGTTACTATCTGCGATCGAACTTACTACTTAAAACTTAGACCCATACTTTAGAAAACATCTGAAAATAGACGTATCCATCTTATTGTGCTGTCCAACACAAATTAACAGTACAAAAACTTCTATCAAACCGAAGCTAATGATAAGTTAAAGTAAAATGTCTGCGACTCGATCACTTGAGTTGCCAATTTAAATTCCATAGGACTCTAATATGTTCCCTATCCACTAATCTAGACTTCCCACTGCCGTATAAATCCTAGGACACCCAAGGGGCGGCTCACAGTAAATATATGGCTCTTGATTTTCCAATTAGGTAAAGTTGGCCTCATATTTTCGTGGAAGGAATAAATTCTAACTTTACGGCTATATAAGGTCGTACGAGCATCGGTTAAAGGTAATAATGAATTGGGTCCGTAATGAATAAGTATTATTGGCTATAAAACCTTTTCTCTAGAACAACATAAACACACATTAAAAGATTTGTTGGACAAGTATTAAAAAAACATTTTAAGGCTTTTTTCCATGGATTCACTTAATATTTGAGTAATACTTATATTGCCAATACTAATACTCGGTGGACTCCGAACCGAAATTTCCTTCGTAGAAATGAGTAGGTATTTTGACTTTAACCAATAATATATATAGCTTAATCTTATGTACATTATGTATAAGCTTATTACGAATAGAAGCACAAAAATTGGCTGGTGCTATAAATTCATGTTATCAAGAGTAACTTGTACTTTCTTTCTGCTACAAAAACATCGTAAAACCAAAAGGCACTCCACTTTCTAGTTTTACGACGCTTTCATTCTACTAAAAACTGCAAAGTTTCGTACTAACTTGATATATTTATTTAAGCTTAAAGAATAGTGAACTTTTTAAATGAATTGAATTTTAATACTTAAGTTATCTAACGGGCTCCGGTTCCACTTTGCTTATATTACATTAAAGAAATTTTTGTTGTTGCCACACTAACTGTAGCTTTGTATACGAAGTATTTTAAAATAAAATCCTCTTTTAAAATATATACATTTAATATCTAAAAGAAACCTGAATCTTAAATTATACAACAAATGGATCTTACTATAAATATTTATTTATTTATTTATTTATTTATTTATTAGCTTTTCAAGGGAAACAAACAGTACAATAAAAAAATTACATTCTAAAACATATAAAAGTTATGCTAAAAACCAACCAAGTTACGATAAGATGATACATTATTATGTAAAAATTCTAAATGTTACCACTTAATAAAACATCAAGTAATTATGCAGTTAAAAGTTAGAAGTAACAATATACATACAACCTACAGCAAAACTACCTATTATAAATTAAGATTTACAATATATTTTTTAAAACTATTATATTTAAGATGAAAGATATCTAATTTACTATATTTTAAATTAAACTTGTTACATGCACGAGATACAAAATTATGTTTAAGTTTTTAATAATGGAATCTACGGATGACACTTGTTTGTACTTGTTAATTTACTATAGAAAAGCTATTAAGACTACATCAATCACCGGATATATCAAAAAGTAATCGTTTTGGAAATTTTAATTAAACCCACAGAAGGTTGTGCTTAACGGTCATTTCATGCAAATTTTAGCTACCTGCGAGCGCCATCAATAAAGCCATTAATAAACCGCTCTTCTCTATTTCCTGAAACATGATATCCTTCATTGCTCGAGAAATTATTATCAACTAGCGACTTATTCTCGCCTAGCTCGGGTGCGTCCCTAGATACGCGAATTTTGCCATTTCATGGGTTTTAATTTTTTTGCACGGCACCATAATTAACTATCTAACCCGTGAAAGTCCCGTATAAATCGGTCCAGCTGTTTTGGAGATTAGTCGGAACAAACGGACAAACAGACATTTTTTTTTCTTTTTAAATAGGTCCGTTATACATATACCTATACTTTAATATGTATTTGGTAAAAAGCATTTATTTTGACATAACAAACAGACATTACAATTTTTTATTGTAATAATAATTTGTAATGTTATGGATATGATATTCTTTGTCTAACGTACATAATATGTGGCTATCCGTCGATATAGTATTTCGATGTTTTTGTACATAGTTGCCGCGAGCTTTCCTTACGAGGCATGTTTCCTTTGTGATCATATTTCTATTTACTCCACGTCAAAACACAGTAGATAGTATAAATTTAATGAATTTAATTGTAAAGTTTTCAAATTTTTTAAAAATTTACCGATTTTAAAAAGGTTTTTTTTTTAATTTAAGCAAGATATAGAATAATTTAAAGATACTATATTAACATATATTCTTCAGCGAATCGCTGCGATGGTAATACTAGAAACAATACCCCTTTTTATGCCATTTTTTAACGTTTCAACAAGGTTTCGTTGAATCGGCTTCATACTTAAAAGTATCTGTGTTTAAACTAATGCTAACATTTCAAGTTATTTGAAGCTTAATATTTTAATGAGCAACACTACTTATACATTACGTAAATATTAGTTTTGCTAATTAATATATCCTATAACCGTCGTACAGAGCACTTGTGTGTTTGGTTATTGAATAATAAAACTCCACAATATATTTACTTTTATGCAAATCTACATAATTACTATAACGATTCATTTAATTAATACCTTCCATTAAATAGAATACAGCATTTCGATCACCCAAAGCCACGGGGTATTTCAGTTTAAACCTTCGATTATATAGAATTCAATTTAGCAATTAGTTTACAATTTCAATAATGACTGCCTACTCTCTAATTTATGCAAACTTTGTTAAATATGCTGAGCTTATGTACAGATTTTGTCAGAATATCAAATTATAATGTATGTATTAGATAAATATATATATATATATATATATATATATATATATATATATAATTATATATTATCTGTATAAATATTATGAATGTGAAAGTTTGTGAGTATGGATGTTTGTTACTCTTTCACGCCAGAACGGCTTAATGGGTCTGGATGAAATTTGGCACAGAGATAGATTATAGTCTGGAATAACACACTTTTTATCCCGGAAAAATGTGCGGTTCCCGTGGGATAGGTTTGTTTTTGTTTTCAGCTAGTATTAAATAAATGACAATACTTTCTACACAGGTAATTAAAAATAATAAAGAATGAGAAAAAAATATGTATTTATTTGTAAAACATGATTTAAGATGTGTAGTCGTTTTTTGTCATTATTTTGTTATTTATTTTTAAAACAAACGATTTAGCCACGCTTCACTCCTTTCATCTCTCATCATACTCTGTGTTCTATATTTCATCCAAATCTGCTCAGGTGTTTTAAAATAATGGAGTACCAAACTTACACATACGAACTCTCTCATTTATAATAGTAGTCTGATACCAAAGTTTATCGAACCCCAAACATAAATATGCATTTATTTGCAGGGCTGTCGCCATTTGTGCGGCACTGGCAGCCGGCGGGGTATGAGCCGGTAGCGCGGCCCCGGCGGCGCAGGTCCGTGCCGGCGCCCCCGCCAGCCCCCTTACGCCTCTCCTTCACAGCACACAACAGGTAAACTGTAAATTGCACTTAATTTGATATTTTTAATTTAAAAACACACTTTTAATAAAACTAGCGACTTACGAGTGAGTCTTTGCTTCGCTCATGTGCGCTTCAGCGTGCCTAAGCCTATTGTAACTCCAGATATAGTCTCCACAGTTTATCTCTGTACTTTATTGAAATTCGTCGTCAACGTGAAGGAATACAGAAGTGCACCCATATATATAAACTTCCACATTAATAATAGTAAATCAAATAATTATACGAAACATAGATCTTAACTCATACTTCGTACATAAACATTTTTTTTGGATCCTACTAATTTTATAAATGAGAAAGTTTCTGAGGATATATGTGATATTGTGATATGTGATATATGGATGTCTCGATGTATGTATGGATGTTTGTTACTCTTTCACACAAAAAATGGATTTTAATGAAACTTTACAATAATATAAACATCAAAATAACACACAGGCTACTTTTTATCCCGGAAAAATATACGGTTAACGTGGGATAGATTTGTTTTTGTCTTTCTCGAGGCAACCCCGAGGGAAGCGAGGGTGAACTGCTAGTATTTAATAAATTTAACAAACATTAAAGTTTACTAGAGTATTTTTATGGTAGTGTCCCAAATCCGACTCTATCGCTCTATTAGCTAATCTGTTTTATCTCCAGTTCACAGTAAAATGATATATAAAAAATGTTCAAACAAAATGTTATCTGTTTTAACGTGCTTTTAGATACGTTAAATATTCATAAAAATGGATGCGGTGTGTGTGTGAAATTTTATGATTCACTCATAAGTGAGAAGCGTAAAGGGTTATTAAAAATCAAGCTAAAAAAGCCTTTATACGGTCCAGAAGTAAATATGCATTTCTATAAATACTAATACGACATTTTTTTCATAATTTAGAAAAGAATACTTTTATAACTTTACAGTTAATATTTTTTTAATTTAAAATTAAAAAAATCCTAATAATTAAGATCTAACGAAGTCTATTTTTTGGTATTTGAACAAATGAAAAGAACACGATACCCTTATAGAGTCACTCGCATATCTGTCTGATCGTCTATTTCCACTGAAGACAGAAAGAAGACATGGATGTGGTTAAACTACATACAAGTATCGATGCAAAAAAAATAAAAAAGTAAAAAAAAACATTATTAGGCTCTTTAATATTAGTTTAATATTAGTCAGTAACATATATATGTATGTATATATATATATATATGTATGTATATATATATATATGTATATATATATATATATATATATATATATTTATTTATATATATATATATATATATATATATATATATATATATATATATATATATATATAAGATTAGATATTAATAAAGCTAAGTATTAAAAAAGTTAGTATTAAAAATATCACTAAAACCTTCTTGCTTGTTGTAACTTAACAAACGTAAACAATATATAGACAATACAAGAAACATTGCGAATTATGAACAAAATATTTTACAAGTTAATTTTAATTAATGCCTTAGAAATATGCACTACTAGCGACTCACCCTGTATTAGCTTCGGGTTCATCCCTAGACAAAAACAAATTTATCCCACGGGAACCGTACATTTTCCCTGGAAAAAAGTAACCTATGTACTATTCCAGACTATAATTAATCTCTGTGCCAAATTTCATCCACATTCACTCAGTTGTTCTGGCGTGATTGTGTAACAAACATCCATCCATCCATCCTCACAAACTTACACATTTATAATATTAGTACCTATGGATATATCACAGCTACACTTACAAGCCGTTGTCTTTTTTTTACAAATTTCACCAACCCACTATCTCCATTACTGATATTGAGATCGATAATTATGGAGTAGATAGATACGTTGCGTGACTCGTTAACTTACAGTTTATTTAATAGCTCAGGGGTGTATTGATATTAAACACATTGGGCAATATAGTTGCCATCGTTGTTACCTGAACATATGTAGCTAGGAAAAGTAACATAAAGACAGTTTTTCCATTTAATATCATACATCTATCTATACTAATATTATAACTGCCTCGGTGGTGTAGCGGCTAGCATGTACGGCTGCACACTCGGAGGTCCTGGGTTCGAGTCCCGGGTCAGGCCAAGTTTAGATATTGAGTCTTTCTGTATAGTAAGTCTCAGTAACAGCCCGGAGTTGGGAAGTTGGCGGTGTTTCACCCCCGTACCTCGGAGAGCATGTAAAGCCGTAGGTCCTGCGCCTTAACTCTCACTGTTCGTGTCGAGCAGTCGTCCCACCGGAGTATGAGAGTGACAGGAATAGAGAGTGCACTTGTGTCTGCGCGTACACTTGTGCACTATAATATCTCCTGCGGCTAGGAGAACATCATCATCGTCATCATCATCAATATTATAAAGAGGCAGAATTTATTTGTTTGTTTGCCCTTCTTTCACGTCGAAACAGTGACACATTCACGTGATTTTTTGTGTGGAGACAGTTGGAAGGCTGGAGAATGCTCCAGCCCTCGCAACTATCTCCACATTATACAATATGTGACATATTATGTAATGACACATAATATGTAATGACATTTTATATGTCATTACATAGGCTACTTTTTATAGGGGGACATTATCTCATTCCCACGTTACAATATAACCCAAAAATATATTTATGATCAGAATTACTTGAAACTTAGTATTAATACACTTCAATACAATTAAATAAATAGGCGTTTTATAATTTTTCGAAATTCAACATATAAGAGGGTGAAATAGGGCATGATAGTATGTATGAAACCTTAGTTTTTTTTTCATAATTTTAGCGCGAGCGAAACCCCGGGTTCTGCTAGTATACTTACATATAAATATTACACTACAACAATTACAATACAATTACTCTGAAAAACACTAATTTCAAAGAAACGAGAGAGCACATCGATAATTAATATATATTACATGCCTCAATAATTTGGATATCAGAAGCGATGCCGACAGACGGTTAGAAGAGAAATTAATGACAAGTACCAAATGTAGGTTATAAAGCAAGGCATTACGATTTACGCATGAGTAATGAGGGGATCGGGTCCAATTATATGAACGTTAACTAGCACTGATCCTACGAGTATGTATACGAAAACGAAACTCGCACACGAATATACTCAAAATCATGAGTAGGTATAACATAAATACGCTTAGAACGTCTGTATATTTAATATCCTGCATGCAGCCTAACTTACCTCCTTTAACATTATGATGACAATATAATGGACTCGTACAAACTTCTTTTCTTTTTTTCTTTCTTTACTTCTATCTTTTATACATATATGTATATAAAAATGTAATGCATGTTTGTTAGTCTCGTTAAAACTCAAAAACGGCTGGACTGATTTGAATAATTCTTTCTTTGTTTTTTGGGGGTGTGTCAGGGGTGGTTTAAGTATAAAAAATTTTTTTTAGGGTAAACCCAAAAAAACGACTGGAAAATCGCAAAGTTCCGAATTTTTTATTTTGTACCTATGTCTATATAATATATGTATATGTTGTCTATCCATTCCATATTAACCGTCAAAACGTACCTAGGGACAAACCCGAGCGAAACGAGGGTGATCCGCTAGTTAGATATAAAAACAGGTGTAATTTTACATATTTTTTAAATGATTACAATTTTTTATGTAGACGGTGGTGATAAACGCCGTAGCAACTTTATTGTGGTCCCTCATACATTTCTGATGTTACATGGACCCGCATATTGCACACATGCATTACACATTGAACCTTCACGCACTCTTTTTCAAACCTAGCGTCATTTTGCTAAAATATATTGATTGAAGAAGATATAGACTCATAGATTCTGTGAATAAATAATTGCATCACATGTTATTCATATTTAAATACTATTGATTTACTCTGACTTCATCTGGGTGAGTTCCATACCTACAGTCATAGTCCATCTACTCAAATACTAAATATAATTTAAAACCTTCTAGCCGTTTCGGCTTGAAAGGGTAACAAACATACACACATACATATAAACTTGGTATTTATGATAGTAGCCCAATGAAATTAATAGGTATCTATATTTTTGGTTGCAGCTTAAGGTTAAGGTACGGTTCTTAAGCTTAAGCTTAAAACAACCCAAAGAAATAAACAATAAAACCTTAAAAAAATAATGAAAATGATATTTTAGACATTAAAATAAAGTTATTTTAAAATCTCTGTATGTGTGTGTGGTTTCATCCATACCACCAACAAACAATCCCAACAATGTAGGTAAATAAATGATCAATTAATGATGACGAAACTAGCATATTGAAATAGACACGAGCTAAAACCATAAACTGAACGTATACAATATATTATATAACATTTTAGCACTTATTTTATAATAATATCCATTTAAATAGAATAAATAAATATGTTGGGACATTAACACACAACACCATCTAGTTCCATGGTAAGCTACGAGGCCTGTGTTATGGATACCAGATAGTTGATCCACTACATGTATTATATAACTTTAAATACATACATATTATAAATATAAACACCCATGACTGGAGCACAAACATTCGTGCTCATCACACAAATGAATGCCCCCAGCGGGACACGAACCCGCGACCGCTGGCACAGCAAGTAGGGTCACTACAAACTGATCCAAACGTGTCGTCTTAATATAAATTATGAGAGCACAAATTATATAATCTGCATATTCCAACTTCGTCAAACAATGACTGCATATACCTAATTAAAGTTCAGCAGCTTGAACGTGACAAGGTTTACTTGAAAATACAAATAAAAATTAGCTTTAGACAGTGAAACGTGCAAAACAATAATTACTTTTTTACTTCTCGGTGAACAAACCTCGCCATGTCTGAGCAAATCGAAGATATCCAGACTAATCCATTTGTAAAGGTAGCCACTGCGGCGACCCTCCATTCCCTTAATTAAAACGTTCCGAATCGAACCGACGGCGATGTTTCATGCCCTTTATACCATGCATTGAAAATAGATCGCTTAAAGTGCCTTTTTTATTTTAT